TGCTTTGAGCAGGGGGTTGGACTAGATGACCTCTTGAGGTCCCTTCCAACTCTGATATTCTATGATTCTATGATCAGAATCCCCCTAGAGATGTTCAGACTGCATGTGGGCCCCTCTCATGCTCATGCATCTCTGCTCCGTGTGCATTGAGCTGCACAGTATTGCCCCTTCACAGCAGTGACAATTTCATACTCCCACTGTCCTGCTTAATGTCTTCTACTGCTTCTTTTATCTCCCCATTCAGCTGCTGCTCTGGGGCTGAAGTAACCTGCCATGATGATCTCCCCTCCCAGGATGCCTCTCCTGCTGCTGTTGCTCCACATCCCAAGTGCTGCCAAAGCTCAGGTTAATCCAGGTAAGCAAAATGAAGGCCAAGCTGTTGCAATCCCAGTGAAGCAGCTGCCCAAGAGGTTATTTTCATTGGCTGTGCTCCTGCCAACCGCAGGCCAAGGCTCATTAATCTTCTTCCTCCATAACAGACGGGTCACCCCGTTTCCAGGAACTCAGACTTTCCAAATACAGAGAAGATGAAAGTGTCTTTCTGAAACTCTGCATTGACACCTGCCCAGGACGGGGATGGGCTGTGCTGGTTTACAGTGGCTTTGTTAAAACCTGGTGTAATCCTTTAATCTCACAGTACTGCTGCCTCCCGTCATCCCACAGCACTGTGTTCCTGGCCCTAGCGATTATAAGATTATTCTTCCCAGCCAGTCTTACAACCATGGCCCCACTGAGGACAATGGCAAAGCCCCTATTGACTACAGTCGGGTCAGGATTTCAGCCCCTCTTCCACCAGGAGACTTATCAAGTAGCTTTCTAGGGTTTTCTCTCTGGAATGTGAAGAGTGTTTAGTGTTTCTGAAAGGGAGGGGCTGACGCCAGTGGCAAGTCAGAGACAGGACCCAGTGTATCTTGGTCCTGACCTGCAACCACTCTGATAAAATAACAATTATACCTAGCTCTGAGTGAGTCAGTATCGTTCACTCAGGGGAAATGGAGGCATAGAGCAGGGCAGTGATTTGCCCAGGGTCACCCAGAAGGCCAGTAGCAGAGCTGGGACTAGATCCCAAGTCTCCTGAGTCCCAATGCACTGCTCTACCCACTAAACTATGCTGCCTCATGCACCTTAGCTGTGATCCACAGGTATTCCAATGCTGCCTCTGCAACAGTTCAGCAAGGATACCTTGGTTGTAGCTTGCAAGGGGCCTGCTATTTTAATCCTGTGCTACTCTAGTGCCAAAGCACATCCACCCTGAACTGCAGCACCCCCTGCAAGCCATCCTCTGGGCCCTTTCGCAGCTCTGCCAATGCAGAGTCCTGGCTCTCTTAAATAGGGACACTTGTTCCTGTGGGGTGTTTGATCTATGTACGCATAGGGAGGAGGTTGAGCTCACTGAGCATGTTTGACTTGTGATTATCTGTGGTCGCATGCGGAGCCTGGGCCTTTGAGTGGAGGCCTTTCTATGTTTTGTTCCCAATTGGTCCAGTTTTATTTTGAGTTTGATGAGAGCAAGGAAATCTGTACTGGGTATTATTTTTTCTCCTGGTCCTAGGTACTTTTTTTGGCCATTCCTAGCTGTAGCAAACAAAGACTTGCTTTATAAAATCTCTGACAGATGCCTGGCCCCTATGCAGAGCCAGGGACTTTTGAAAAATTGATCTTTTTAAAAAATTGATACAGGCAAGAAAAGAACATCTAAAAGAGATTTCTCCACATGCATTCATGGAAGCAGAATCGCTAGCCCCTTTGGCCATGGTAGAGGAACTGGTACATATCAGGGGGTTACAGTTGGTTTCCTCTGTGACCCAATCAGTTCAAGGCCCAGGCCCATCAGGAAGGAAAAATTTGCTGGGTTTCCCCATGGATTATGCACAACAACATACTTATTCCAAAGGAGTCAATCCTGTTTCATTGGAAGACTTCTATCAGACATACATTTGGCCTTGTCTGGCCTGGACAGTCATTGTATTAGACTGGAGCCAAAGTAACTGAGCGGATCCCAAAGGAACAACCCTACAAGGGATTCCTACAGGCTTTCAGTGTGATCTGCGGTTGTAGTCCTTGGAGCAGTGATCTGCTCTGCTATCACAAGTTCAACAGGTTCAGGTTTGGTCAGTATCTGGAAATGGTTCTAGTGATTCGGAAGATGCTGCTCTGTACCGGACACAGTGCTAGGGGCCAGGTGTGCTGCTGTCTTTTGGATGAGACATGACACTGATGATCTGTAGTCCCCTGTGGCCATCAAAAGTGTTATAGAGATCAGCCTGGGCATTTAGGCCAGGACACAATAATTAGATTATGCCTTGCAAAATTCTCTCTGCCTCTAGAGCTAAGGTCCCTAAACTGTCAGTGCTTCCCCTAGGGGGGCACGGATGAATGTCCGGTGGTGCACGGCGGGGCCGGGCCAGCCCCCCCGGGGGGCAGGGAGTGCCACCCAGCCCCTCCCCACTCCCAGCTTTGCTCTAGTTCCCAGCCTGGGGCTGAGGCTGGGGGTGAGGCCAGGTGTAGAACTACCCCAGGCTGCGGGCCTGGCTGCTGGCCCACATGGCAGCCAGCTGCAGATCTGCTCCCACCCCTGCCCCCAGCCTCGGCCCCTGGCTGTGGCCTGCTTCTGGTCACAGACCTATCCGCAGCTGTGGCCCCAGCCTCTGCCCCTTACCCCAGTCCGCATCCCCTCCCTGCCTCCCTGTAACTGGGGCCCTGCTCTTGGCCCCAGCAGGTTGCGGGGCGGGGCCTGGACAGGGATAACGGGGGGTGCAACCCTCAAAAGTTTGGGGACTGCTGCTCTATAGAGAACAAATGTTTAATCCTGGGCTGTCAGTCTAGCAGAGAAAGGTAAAACATGAGCCTATGGCTGGAAGCTGAAGCTAGACAAATTCAGCCTGGAAATAAGGTGAAAATCTTTACCAGTGAGAGTAACTAACCATTGGAACAACTCACCAAGGGTCGTATTGGATTCTCTGTCACTGAAAATGTTTAAATCAAGATTGGGTGTTTTTCTAAAGCTCTGCTCTAGGAATTGTTTTGAGGAATTTCTCTGGCCTGTGCTGTATGGGAGATCAGACTGGATGATCACACAGGCCCCTTCTGACCTTGGAATTGATGAATTTTCACTTCCTTTCTAAAGTGGTCTGTCATGTGGCATTGCTGTGCGCTATAAACCAGCTGCTCCCTCCCATCCCAGTGGTGGCTGTATTTCAGTGGTGAGTAATGAATTCTGCAAAGTGTTTGTGTTGGGATTGCAGTGCCATACAGTATAGAAATACAGTGTATCAAGGTGAAACAGCCCTGGGTCAGACTGAATCACAGTCCATGACTTCCATTACCATGCAAGTTCATGGGGATTCACTGGTGCAAAACCAATGTGAGGCCTGGTCTACACTACGACTTTAATTCGGATTTATCAGCTTTAATTCGAATTAACCCTGCAACCGTCTACACAACGACG